GCTGTGGTTTTTATCCAACAACAGGAACCTGAGCAGCGTCGTGTACGGGGGGAACCGCCATGTTGGCCAGGGGTTTGTCCAGCGGCCATGTTTGTCTCGACAGGACTTTGTCACGTCCTCCTACAATCAGATAGAAGAGCCACAGAAACACAATAAAGAAGGGAACTGGAGAGCTGGCACGTTTCTGCAAATGATGAGGGTTTAGGTGAGATAAGGGGAAGGCAGAACCGATGTTTGTGTTTCAAGGTGAAGGAGGAGGAGGAGGAGGATTATAGAAAGTACGTTTTTACCTCGAGCCGGTAGTCAAGGCGGAAGCTTTTGCGGGACGAACGAGTGGAGCTGCTCTTCCGTGGGGTCTGAGGATCCACCACTCCACCCTCAGCACCTCTTAACACTCCATCATCCTGTCATGGACAACGCAAACACACACACACACACACACACACACACACACACACACACACACACATTAAAGGAGTCAACGTATGCTCTGCCAGGCTGTAGGAACTGGACGAGATATAAGCACTGTTAATCATTTAAACATCACTTCAGCTGTAGTTCATATATTGATTTTTTCTTCTAATGGGCTAATGTGAAAGCTTTGACTTTAGAATAACTGCTCTCACTACAACGTGTAAGAAACTGGAAACCAAGAAGAAACTAAACGATGAGTGTGAACAGACCATTTTCACTACAGACATCTTGGCATAGGAAGATTACAAGTGTTTGTATGACATTGATAATAACAGCATTCCACTGAGATTAGCAGAACCTCCTATTTATCATGCACGTTTACTGGCATGGCTCACTGAGTCACATGAGCCTTTGTTAAAAGGTTCCACCTTTTCTCTAGCTGCTATGACTAGTCAAAATGTCTGACATTAATAATAGTCTTCTTCAGCTCTTGGTTGCACGTTTGCCAATACACTTGGACAGCTAACATCAACAGAAACACAGCTCCACACAACAAAGACTAAAAAAAAAAAAACTTTCTCTTTAACAAGTTGTAATTGATAATCAATAAAATGTTGTACTCATTACATTTTGAGTTCCTGAATAAGCTTCTTACCTGCACCAGGCCTTTTCTCTCCTCCAGCACGGCTCTGTCTGATGATGACGGCTTCTCCATGAGCTCACTACCACACCTAGCACACAAACACATCCACACTTTTAACTTTTACAACACAGCTACAAAGTCAGAAGAACCACTCTTTAATGAACTGGTCAGATGTTCCATGACTTGCTTAAAAAGGTGCATCAGAAGGCTCAGTGGAGAAAAACTACACACTGACTGCAACATTTCGACACGATAAAAGAAAACATTGAGCTGACGGTTTGACCACAGGAGTTTGCATGAGGCAGAAGGTGATATTCAGACACACAGGAAGATCTGTATCATCAGGAAAATGACACTCTATCAGGTGTGACATTTTAGTGCCAACACAGTAGAACAAAACTATAGTCTCAAACCAAACCCAAGAAGGACTCGCCCACTTTCTCTCACTTTTTTTGATCTTTTAAGATCGTGTACTTAAGAGAGATGATGACACATGTTGCCTAACAAGTATGACTGATAAATAAGCTGTTTTTTTTATAATTGGGTAATACTGTTTGTGTTTTAAAGCATGAACCATGCAAAAACAAAGACGTATCCAAAGTTACAACGACCCCATTTACTGCTTATCAAAAGTGATGAGGCACACTGTAATCTTTGTAATGTTTACCTGTTTCAAACTTCATACAGTCTACTTCTGCTTGGGACAATATCCACCTGAAACATAGTTATGCAATTATAAACTTTAATCTTAGCCCTAGAGTGGATACAAATAATGTATTCACTCTGACTCCTTCCCTGGATATGTGATTATAGGGAATAATAACATAGATTTTAGTGTCGGGGTAGGTTAAGAAACACCTATGTTTACTTGTAGACGTGTAAATTGACGTTGGCACCTACACAGTCAAAGACTGCATGAATAATCACAGCCCTTCTTTCTCGTGTTATTACCTACAACGTTCACAGCTGAATACACACCCTCTAACTACTACTCACTCATGAATGATCCCTTCATGCACTTTAACGTCTTTAAAAAATCACTTACTCATTTAAGAGATCAGTAGGATGTTTTCCCTTCCTCTTAATTATGCAAAAAAAAAAAAAAAAACGATAATTTGACATGCTTGGAGAAATGTACGGGTGCACAGGTGTGCACACAAACGCAGTAATGCAACTAAAGCCTCACAATGCACTTGCCCTCTCTGGGGAACTCCATACATTCAAGCTATGGCGTGCTGATGATGCACTCAGCCTCATGAATGGACTTTAACTGCACACTACACACAGACACTGGGACAACAATGAAGCTCTGTGGACGACAACCAAACAAAGATCTATGTAGCCAGGCCAAGCGTGCCTGATGTGTGGACATATAAACAACAATCACAGCCTGAAGTCAAATGTGAGCTTCCTGTTCAGATATCAGACAGGTTGTTTTACAAGTTCTAAAAAAAACAAAAAAAAACAACAAATGCACAAAACCAAGTAAGTGTCCAATGAAAAAACAAACAAAAGACATCATGACATTTGTAAACATGAAATACCTTGTGATAAAGACAGACAAGCAACCTGATAAAACATCTTTTGATACCAGCAGCAATTTCCTGTTTAAATGGTGTGAACTACAGACTGTAAATAATAAATGTGGACATGATGAGACAGGAAACACAGCAGCAACAATATTGACAGTCTAGCAACATCACGAGTTGCCTTATGAAACGCAAGAACCCCACAGTGTGTCCACACAGAGACAGCAGAAAGCAGCTTAAAATGCACCAAATATAGCAGAACACAGATTACCGTCACAGGCTACTTTAAGGCCACCACACACTTACTGCCCACACACGTCGTAATGCACCCAGTTGTTACTATTTGCAACCAACTTACCTGAAAACTTGAACGCAACAGAACGCCACCGGTTGTTATTTTAGCGAGGAGACGTGTTTGTTGCATTAACGAGCTGAGGATCATTATCAGGAGAAATACGGTTCCCTGAGCATTTCGAGGGCACTTTGCTTTTCCGCGCAAAGGCTCTCTAGAAGACAGCAGCAGGCGATAACGTTGAGACTACAGTGGATGCGGCTGTAAAGATGTCGTTTGTAGGTATGACGAGGAGTTTTAAACGCTGCAGGACGGTGAGGATCATTAGTCGGCACCAGCTCTGACGTCAGTGCAAAAAAAAAAAAAAAAAAATCCTCTGATCACGTGACCAACTCGAGAAAGTGTCGCCATGAGAATACTAACCAAAACTTCATTACAATGTTACAATTCTTTTTTTTTTTATTTGTTTTTTTTTTGTTTCATTTTTAATTAAAACGCTTTCTATGGACAAAAAAATACATACAAATCAAGTTGCTAGAAAATTGTTCTAATATGGGCATCCTATTTTTAATATATATATCAAATCTAAAAAATGCTGCTGCTACTACAACTTAATAAATCGTCATATGGTATATAGACGGACCTGTCTTGTGATTTTTTTTGTATCCAATTGCTTGTTTTATTATTGCATTACCCTTTAATTTAGTTAAAGTTGTTAAACTGTTTAATCAGACTCTTTAATAGCATCACCACTCATAACAACACTGCTACACACTGTGTGTGTTTTTAATAAAAAGTCTTTCCACAAGTGGAAGTGTAGATACCGTGTCATTTTCTATTATTGTATTTTTATTTATTTAACTCATGTAAATATGTTTGATTTTTAACTTCTATTTTTATTTTTAATAATTATATTCATGTTTTCTTGAGCTGCTGTAATGCAAAAAATTCCCCCGTGGGGGAATCAATAAAGTTTATTTTTTATCTTTATCTTTAAAGATTTTTCAACTATTATCAATTATTTCATTACCATTTTATATAGCGGATACAAGGCTATTTTAATATTTGGACACACTTGGTGTTAGTGAAGAAAATTAAATGTGCTGTATCTGCTTTACATAATTTTAGTTTAGCTCTTAAGTTGACAACTTACATTTATGCTCTTTTGAAATAAAGTAAAAACAAACCAATGTTTACACACCGGTACTTGAAAATGAAAAGCCTACTTCTGATTCTGCTCCAACCACACATTCAGTGAATTATGATATTTTTAAAGTGAACTAACTAATAAGTTGGATTTGCAGGTTTCATCAGCTCTGGTAAAGAAGTGGAGGAAAACTTAAGTTTGCTCACTTCTAAACTAAGTATAACCTCTAAGTCTTTTTGCAACATTTCTTCGACACAATGGTGAATAAAACCTTACATACCTTGAATGCTTCCTGATTATGAACTGTAACACCTGGAGAGAGTTCAATCCGAGCACACAAACTACATTCAGTCGCCCAGCGCGTTTACAAAACTTACTTCTACACGAAAGCAACATAAGTGCAGGCCTGAACAACACTCTCTCCATTCTTGTTTTTTGTATCCAGACATATTTGTTAAGGTAGTTTTTGTTGTAAAAAAAGAAGTTTATGTACAGCCCGAGGGAAGTGGATCAGCCTCCATGGTGGTCCGGAAAGCTTACAAAAGTTACGTCCTGCCAGATGCTTTCAAGGACTCCCGGAAATCTGAAAATTCACACGTAGGCATCGATACGTGGTTATAAAGTGTTCACTATAATGGGTCAATCTGTTCCAACTCAAGTTTTTAACATTTTCAGGCAGCTTGTTAACCATCATGCACCTGCGAACTGTCCTGTAGACAGCTGGACTCTAATGAATTTACTGAGACAGGATGATGCTTGAGAAAGTGGCCAAACTCTGGGTCGAACCTTTATATTTAGAAAAGTAATACTGATGCCACAGTGTGCACATCAGAAAGTATGTTATTGTTGCACTCAAACCTTTCAGTAATTCTCCTCATCTTGACCTGCATCTATATTGAATCATGTTGTATGTATCTGTCACACACAAAAGGTAAAACAGGATAACAAATGTAGGCAAAACTTTTAACACATTTTCTTTATGTAGAAAACCACAAAATCAGTTTAAAAAAAAAAAATCAATTAATTAGCGATTAACATTCAAAACAAAACTAATAACAAAATTATGGATAAGACTTATTCTGAAAAAACACATTAGAGGATGCAGAGGATTGTGTATTGATAACACCAAAGTCTTAGTTTTGTTTTCAGTTACGTGGTCAGGAACACAAAGAAACAAACTGTTTGACATTATGTGTGTGCATGTGTGTGTTGTCCTTGTTTATTTCTCAGTGCTCCTTGTTGTCTCCTTCCTCCTCCAGTTTCCTGATCTCTGCCTTCAGGTGGTTGATGTTTTCTCTGCTGGCCTTTAGTTTGTCTTTCAGCTCTGTGATCTCTTGGCTGGTTCTCTTCTTTGCTGCTTCCATTTTCTCCTTGGTCCTCTGCTCCTGCTCACTGACTGTGGACACAAGCAGGAAGACGATTATATGAACAAGAAAAGACGAGGGGACAGGTGACAAGCTTTATCCCTGAGGGGAAAAAACAACTGTTCACTCTGATATTGAACATGATACACTCACATGCACAAACAGGAACTAATGGAAATGTAGAAATGGATAAATGTCAGGGTGAGGGGCAACACAAAACAGTTCCAAACAGTTTGGGGTTCACTGCCTTGCTCAATCTTGGCAGTGCCCGGAAGTTGAACTGGCACCTCTCCAGCAATCAGTCCCAAATTCCATACTGTGGTCCGTCACAGGACTTAAACCGACCGGTTCCCAACCCAATTCTCTAGAGATTAAGTCTAAGCCTAAGTCTTTGACTAGACTCTTCTCCTCTGTCGCCCCCCGGTGGTGGAATGAACTTCCGAACTCCATTGGATCGGCAGAGTCCCTCTGCACCTTTAAGAAAAAGCTAAAGACCCATCTCTTTCATGAATACCTACTAACTTAATGATGATGGTTTCGATATTATTGATGATGATGATGGTTGTCACGATTGTTTTTGATTGATAATGATGACTTATAAGATGGTTTCTATACTGATTAGAGCTCTCAAGAACTGCCCTCAATGTTGTGCTTTGCCTCTGGTCACTTCCTGTCAGCACCTGTGTGTCCAATCAGACTCAAAGCTGATCGTTTGCTCTTACTGACATTGTTCCCTTTTTTCTAGATCCTTGCTTGTGTTGTACTTACTCTCTGATGTAAGTCACTTTGGATAAAAGCGTCTGCTAAGTGAATTGTAGAATTGTAGAGACTGAGCTACATCATGATACAAACATATAGGCCAGGAATACTCACACATGCACAAATAGGATCTAATGGACATGTACTAATGGAGAGATTTCAAAGTGATGGGCTGTACATTAAAGAGGGCCCTAGCAGTTGGGGATCCCGTGCCTTGCTCGGTGAACTGGCACTTGTACAGACAGTGACTCAGCATCACATTTGAATCTGTATATTATATCTGTGTAAACATATTCACATGTTCTTTGAGTGTGTACATACACTCTGTCTCATGCTTGTACGCTCCCAGTGTGAGCTGTCTTGATGTGGTCAGTAGTTGCTGCATCATTGCTGTAGGATCCTGGAATATCTGTAAAAAGAATACAGCAAGGTATATTTAAACTCTTGTGTTTTCATCCATTTAATCAAAAGACTGTCGCTATTTGGACGAGTCAAGTTTGGCACTCTGGAAGTTGTTTTGCCAATTCATGTTTTCTTTTTTTGAAGGTGATTCAATATCAGTAGACAAGTAAGAGAAGAAAAGCTTCGGATTTGATGCAGTTTAGTCACTGCTGTCATCAGTAAGAGCGTGAAAGCAGGCATACCATTTCATCATAGAATTCAGAAACAACAGTCTTCTTCGGCATGGCACTGGAGTCTGACTGGAACAGCTTCAACAGATGGTAGAGAGTTACCTAAACCACACAATAAACACACAAGCAGGGAGACAAATTCAACACTAAAGCTCCCTCCTTTGATGCAGGATATCAATTATTAGATTTCACATTTGAGTACCACTGGCCACTCTTACAGGTCTCTCATTGGGGTCGATGAAGAAGATCTTAATGATGATCTCAAACTCTCCCCAGCCCGTCTCTGTTATCTCATACGGAGGTTTAGTCACCACTGGAAGAAAGAAAAAAGCCACCTTAGTAACTTTTATTCTTGAAAATCCACACATTTGACATGATCAAACACATGCTGTTTAAATGACCACTTACCTCTCAGTGGGTTACCATAGCTCTCATGTAGTTTGAACTGAATCTTCTTCACATAAGCAGACATATCCTGGAAGAACAAAGTGATGTTTTTAAAACACTAATAATCATAACTTTATTTATATAGCACCTTTTAAAAACACAGGTTTACAAAGTGCTTTGACAAACAGCAAAAACAAGAAAAAAGCAAACTAAAGCAAACACAGAATAACATTAATAACAGTAAGAACATAACAAATGCGAAATACTAAAAATAATTAAATACAATTCAACAGAAAAGAACCCAAAGTGCACGATACCCAACAGACATATATAACCCGACCATCACAAGAACCATGATAAGAACCCAGGAAACACAAGAACCCAACAACAAGAGCTGAGACCAAGAGGAACCAAAGATTTAAAAATATGTAAGAAACTAAAAGAGCTGAAAAAAAAGAAAAGATAACAGCAATAAGAAGGTAAGAGCAGTAAAAGAAATAGAAACAAGTGGTTAAAGGATCAAAAATATAAAGTAAATATAAATATGAAACATAAATAGACAAAGTAAGTAAGATAAGAAATGACCAAGTTAAAACACAAGAGGAGATTAAGATAAGAGCATAAATAAAATAGAATAGATGTTTATTTCCATTTGCACAGTTACAGGACAGTTACAGGTACATTGGAATTCTTGTGCGTTTCTCCCTGAGTCAGCTTCTACAAAAAAAGTTAAAATTATATATAAAATAGACTAGCATTGTAAGAAAAAAAGAAAGAGTACAAAAAAATTGTTGTATTAACAGCTAAGTAAATTAAAATAAACGGTACAGAAGTTATACACTGTATTAAAGCAAAGATATAATAATAAAAATAATAATAATAACAAGGGGGAACACTGTACAATGAAATGAAAATATAAATATGTTATTATCTCTTATTGCACACATATTTGTGTGCAATATTTGTGTGTCACAGACCGTAAGGCGCTACAGCGGGTGGTAAAAACCGCCCAGCGCATCACAAGGTGTCCACTTCCTGCCATTGAGGATGTCCAAAGAACGCTGTCTGTGGCGAGCTCATGGCATCCTTAAAGACTCCTCCCACCCTGCCCACAGACTGTTTACCCTCCTGCCCTCCGGCAGGCGCTTCAGAAGCCTCCGGACCAGAACCAGCAGACAGAGGAACAGCTTTTTCCCCAGAGCTGTTTCTCTACTGAACTCTACCCCCCGAACTCTGACTCTCTCTCTCTCTCCGCACCCTGCTGACCCCCCCCTTTCCCCTGCATATCACCTCACACCCATCATCCCCCCACCACTCCTCCTGGTCACACACACACATCTCTCATCCACCTGTATTATTGTATTATAGTATGTTCATATTATGTCCATATTCTTTATATTATCTGTAAACTAGTATAGCATGCTCACTGCACCTTAATCTGTATATTATAATCCTAAGAATACACTTATATTTATAGCATTTATTTATATTTATAGCATCCCATTAATCCAGCCATCCATATATACCTAATAATTCACTTTTTTTAGTCTACATCTGTAAATTTTGTAATTACTGTACATAGCACAGACTCTTGCACTTTCTGCTTATTTGCACTTCTGGTGAGATGCCAAACCTCATTTCGTTACTCTATACTTGTATATGTGTAATGACAATAAAGTTGAATCTCATCTCATATTTTTCCACATTATATAATTAGAACAATAAATTATTATACTATAAAAAGAACAGTAAGAAGTAAAAGAAGATAAAACCCAGTAAGAAAAGACATCACATAAAAGCAAGTCTGTGAAAGTATATTTTAAGGGATTTAAAAGAATTGAGGGAGTCTTATCTCCTCAGGGAGGACACTAAGAAGGGTGTTATGACACCTGTGAGGTGATCTGGATCTCTCACCTCGTTTCTGTAAGGCTTCACATAAACAGACCACTGATGAGTGTGACCGTCCTCCTCTCTCTTCTTCCCGAAGTAGCGGGCGACGTTTCCAAACACGATGGGCTTCACGATCGTTACTCCCTGCACAAAACACACAAAAACACCACATTATAAGTCAAGTGAGATACACTGCTAAACAAACAGAACGAAGGACGCGTGGGTAAGGATGTTAAAAATGATAATTAAAAGAGTAATTCCCCCAAAAACAAACACATCAGAGCCGTAGTTACCTTCACTCTCCCCCCGGAATCTGGACCAAATTCAGTCATCTTTTTGAACATAGTACGGTGGGACGAGTTCAGTAGATCTGCTAGTGTACTTCAGCGTGTGTCCACATGTAATAAACCTGCCATTTAAAGCATTTAAAAGCTTTTTTGCTTTATTTAGCCGGCGATCTTGTTTCAAAAATCGGCAGCCAAACAAACAACCGCCGGAAGTAGATAGTGTCAGGGTGTAAATGGCACCGGGTGGAGCGCGATGTGTGAGGACTAAGGTTCCGGCACTTGGAGAATTTCGAATCAGACTTGTAAGGGTTAATATTTATAGTCTAAGATCAGAATTATCAATATTTAATAAGAGAATAACTATTTTTTTTTTCTGTTAAGGTTCCTTGACATCAAAAATACGTGTTTATCATGTTACATTTTCACAAATCTCTCGATTTCATAGAGATTTTTTGCGCATGTTTGCAGGTTGCTGAGAAACATTTAAGTACTAAGTATTACCATCTAATTGCTTTTTAAGACAAGGTCTGATTATCACTTGTCTATCACTTTAACGCTAATCGGACGTGATGTATACAAAGGAAGCCACAAAATTAAACTCAATTTATTTGTTTATTTATTTTTATACCAGTCATAATTTGGATTCCATGTGCTTTTCCCAACAGTAAATTAACAAAACAAACAAAAAAAAAACAGAAAAAATATGGGATAATAGTCTTTACTGGAAGTAAGTCCAAATCGACCAGATTACTGCATAGCAAGTCATTTAAAAGATTATCAGTAGTGTAAATGATTAACAACTTAACTTGCATGCATTGTAATTAAAAGTTTTCACTGAGCTGGTGTGCACAGCTCGACTGTTACTGCAGTTACAATGTCTCACTCATGGACACGTGTGGCTTAACATTACACAAATCAAATAAATACTGAACAAAATACTTTCATCGAGCTTGTATATTTAGCGTTGTCTGGCTTCTTGTAGCAGTCAGCCAAAGTTCTTTGGACTTGACCGTTTCTTCTTCTGTCGAGATGAAGACCTGGAACACTTACCTTCAGGGCTGTGGAGACAAGTCAGCAAAAGGCAGCTACTACTTGACACCTGAGTTTCAAATGGAAGCCCTACACACAGATTTTTTTTTTTTTTACTTGCTCTGACCTCTGCTCAGCTGTGTGAATTCATTTGGGTCACAAAAGTCACTGTACATGAACAATTCATAAAGCTGTGTAGGTAAAGTCCCACCACAAAGTTCCACAGATCAGGAACAAGACTGATCTGAACAGTTTACAAAACACAGTCCTGAGATGAGGTCCACACAACCACAATTATTGACTGCCCCTAATGTGTGTTGGGCTTTAAAGCGAATTTGCATTTCTTTTTTTTAATGGGAATTATTCAAGATAACTGGCATAACGATCTTTCCTCGTTGAGACTCAAAACGCCCCACCTTCAGTTTTCTTTTGTTACAACAGCTTTACAATGAGCACCATTTCATTTTTACAGAGTTTACAGGGTTTTTTTTTTTTTGTTGTTAATCCAAAAACACATTTAAAGTAAACCGTTAGCAAAACAAGACAATTTTAAAAATACTTTTTTCCAGCTTTCTTCTGATTAACCTATTTTATTTGTGTAAAGAGTGATTCTGGTAGCCATTAGAATCACTAAAAGGCATTTAGTGTCAACAACTTTATAAAAACATCAAATACCTTTTGAGAAGTCATATTTCAGGGAATGGCAGTGATTGGAACTGCATGGATTGATTTAAGGAGGAAATATCAAACAAAAAGGAGAAAACAATGACCCTGACAAGACAAACAAATCCAACAAAACAAAAACTCAATAGAATGGTGGATATAAAATTTAGACAGAAAGGAGGAATTGAGAACCATCAAGAGTTGTTTTCTGCCATGTTATAATCAGCATTTAAGCATCTGTCTCAAGTTGCATTCATAAGAGTACAGTGTTAGTGTTTGTAGATCACATTTCTTTGTTTTGGATTCAAATGAGACAATCTGCAACTACTCTGGCTTTCAGTTCAGGTCAAAACTCTTAAAAATCCAGTACATATAGTTTTTAAGACTTTGAACAGAGACAATAAAAACATACATGTAACAGTGCTTATTGAACCAATCATGTTCATTATTACAAAACTGAGCTCTTTATCAAAATGTTGACTGTCGTTCTAATTCAACAGAAATGCAACACATGAACATTTTGCTTAGTGGAGAGGAGCAAAGGTGTGTTGAACTGGATATACAACAGTGTTATGGTGCACAGTCTATCCTAGAACTACATTTGAATTTGTTCATGTATTAAAAAGTTTCTGTGTTGTAACATGTTAAGAGTAATAAAAAAAAAAAGAAAAAAACATTACCATGGGAAAAATGTGTCAAGATGGTAAATTTTCAACAAATGTGAAGACTGACCAACTCTATGCTGCAGCAACAATGGCTGCTTTGATGACTTAATCTTTACAGTTATACATTTCACATTAACAACACAGAGACTTTACAATCAGTTTTGGAGTGGAAAAATTCCTGGTAATGACTTTTAGTCGTTACCACGTGACTGTTAGTCATTACCAGTGTGATAACACAACATAAACAAAATAAAAACTGCCGTCTGAATTGGAATAGAATTGATCAACATATGTGTGGTGCAGAGTGCTGCACACACATGGAAAAAGTACAATCATCAAGTCGGTCTAACCCTGGAGTTTTTTTTTTTTTTTTCATGTGAAGAAAAACAACAAAACAAGTCATCAGGTTCTACTTTGTGTAGCTCAAACCACCTGCTAAAAAAGTTAAGAAATATCTGAATGTGGACCTATTCAATATGAAAAGGGGTCAGCAGTCAAAAATGTACATTTAATATAAATGAGGCAAACATGTAGAGGAAGTCACCAAATGCAATAAATACCTCATTAATCATTTTTTATTACAACACCTTCTAGATTTTAATCAAAAGCAGAGACATTTACAAACATACTAACCATGAAAAGAATAAATGAGAATGAGAGAGAGACGTTGGAAGAACACATCACACATGTACCCTATAAAAATGGAGCTCTAAACTGAATGTACACAGTACAGGAAGCCGGGGAAAAATAAAAAGCAATAGGATGTAATGTTTGTGTCTTCTAGTTAGGAACGAAGTGGGACTTTTTTTATTGTTTCTTTGCAAAAAAAGCTTCACAAGTAGTCATTTTCATGTCAAATAAAACATCATAAAAATAAAAGAGCGGTTTGGAAAGTTTCTTTTCTTTCATCTTTAGTTACCATGAGTATAGAGGTTTGGATAACATAGCCTTACACAGTTCAGGGTCTCCCATCCACAGGCAGATAGGACGAACAGACAGAGAGTAGGATGTGTGGAGGCAAAGAGGAGCGATGGAGGGGTGGAGGAAGAGGTGGTGGCTGTGATCCTGTCCGGTCATGCAGGGTTGGGAGGTGGTGGCGCATTGAAATCCTTCCTCTTTTTCCTCCCATCGTTCCTTGATCCTCGTGAGCTGAAAGGTTTCAAAACGAAGGGTGGAGTTTGGTTTCGAGGCAGCCCAATAGTGAACACTTTCCCCCCCTCACCATTAAACCTCTACACTACACAAACAGTGTACATCAGGACTGGGTTCAATCCACCATCACTTTGAGACACAAAGTTGGAGTTTGTCTAAGGTACCCAACTGAAAGTTTCTCTATGAATTTTTTGTTTGTTTGTTTTGGTAACAAAAGTAAGTAATCCAGTCATATCAAAGCAGAAGTGCTGCGACAAAATTCACTTCTATTACTGCTCAGTTGACGGTGTATATTCCCCAACCCTGGAACAAACAGTGAAACATGCAAACTTGAACATGAAACATCTTATGGTCAAATTCAAACCTATTACTATGTACACACACACACACAGCAAAAGACTGAACAATACTCAGTAGAGTCTAAGCCTAAAGGTCATTCACCTCTGTAGCAGAACATGTATTAGAAATTGGTTACATGGATTTTTTTTTATTTTTATAAAATCACATTAAGATGCTTTCGCATTATTATGTAGCTCTGTCTAAAAACTTGGGACAGTCAAGTTTAGCATTAAGCTTTTGTTTTCCAAAATCAGGGATAAACACAGGAAAGCGCTGATAAGAATCAGGACAGCTAGAACTATGCTGGATTTAACAGTTTAATTGATCCTGGATTAAAAGAAATCTGCATTTGGCTTTACAGGATCAGATCCAATTTGGAGCACAGTGTTTCGTTGGAGGTTATTTGAAATGTTTTAGAATTTCCTGTAATACAGATCTTATATTTAGGGAAATAAGCTTCCCACGCTGTATTGTGCTGTTAACGTAAGCCAAAATAGCAGTGACAACATTACAATAACTCTAATCTTATCAGTTGTTAGAAAGGAGCTTTATTCTAGAGAAACCTGTCTACTTCCCTGTACTGGTTTTGTGACATCTTCAAAAATAATTTATAAATCCACTTGCTATTTATAGTGGTAGATATAAACCAATGGTATTTTTTATATTAATCCCTGAACTCATATGAATAGAAAGTTGGCATGACACACAGAGCTAAATAACAAACACTAAAAATGTATCAACAGCAACACAACCAATGTTTTTTCCCTCAGGAAATTGAGCAACACAATAGTAAAAAACACAGAAAAGACAAAAAGAGCAGTAGGCCGAAACACAAAACTCTGAACACAAAGGTATGCATCTCAATCTGAGACAGCATGTTATACTTTGACATTATTATTATTATTTTCAGTGGAATTTGGAAAACCCCTTTATGTTCTACTACACATAATGCCAGGGAATTGGATGCAGCACTGTGAACTTACACAGCATTCAAAATGACAACATGTCTGATAAAAAGACATTTTTAAATGGCCTGGTCTTGTTAACTTTATTAAGCCTTTGTTACACCAGGTTTGGCCTTAAAAGGTGAACTCAGAACTTGTTTCTGCACCTCCGCTGCCTTACTTACAGGCAGCTCAGCTGAGTACATACAATTGGATACAATTGAAATTGCTCAGAGATTCAAATACAAAACAAAGTTTGATATGTTTGCTTTAGAGGCGTGTTGTTGTAAATGCTGAATGGTTACATATAAAGTCACTACAGGTTAGTCAAGGTGTTTTACACAACATTATAATTAAAGTTGATAGTACTCATTGTCAGATACAAAGGGGGCGATAATATTCAGGACATGTTGAAATTTGCATAACTGAGCTGCTCTCTGTTATTGAATAACAATCACATTTTTGAAGTTCTTTGTATTGCTCAGAGTCAAACCAGGGTCAAGCAGTTCATAAAATACTCTCTATTCAACCTCAAACATATTTAGTTACTACAAGGAAATCCACAATACTGACTGACTTATGATACTTTCCATTTGACATTTAACTTGTTTCCCTTTATTTCAGGAAAGAAGCTAAAATAACCTAGTTACTTATCTTAATGTGTTTCACTAACCTTCAGCTAAGACAAATTACTTTATGATTGACATTTTTATTCAATACTTTACCCTTCAGTTATGTCTCAGTCAGGGGTTATATATTAATGTCTCTATGTATGTTTCTAAGTGTAAATTATATAACCTCTTACTAATGCATGAAGTGTTTTGCAAACTCTGTTTGACCCTGGTTAAACGTGCAAATATCATGACTGTTTGTAAAGGACATGAGGTCTGTGATCCAAACACAAATACACCTACAGACAGACTAAAGAGACAGCACAAGAATTCACTTCAGCCTGGTGCAAACAGTGTATATTCCCCCAGCATAATATGAACACATAAGTCAGTGTTTATTTAAAAAAAAGTTCTAGAAACAATGAAGAGCCATACTACCAGCAGAAATAAAATCAATCTGCTCAACTCTTAATTATTTCCTGATAAACATGCTCAGAGAAATGACTGAATGCAAGGGCAGCTTTTGTCTTTAGTATTTTGATCTAAGATGAAAGTCACAATTTGGTCCAAAATCTAAAGAAAAAGGGAATTCTGTCATCTTAATATTACCAAAAGTCACCAGACCTTGTGTCCACCAGGGATCTCTCTAACATCAATGACAAAATGTGAGTTTGAGGAGACCACCAAAATAGCTGTTGCTATGCTACTTGGAGTAAAATGGAGTACTTCTTGAAAAAAACAGAAGAAAACATGAAAGTTTCCAATTCATGCAGACACAGCTCGTTAAATGTGAATATTATAAGCAGTGAATGAAGGTGGGGAGGGGGGGGTTGTGCAATGTAACTGATCATTTTTAAAAGAGGTTCCAAGTGGACACAAAGTATTAATTTTCAATAAAAAATGAAGATGCTGCACAAGGATTTGATTAATTTAGCTAGGATTGGTAACAACGCTAGCTAAATTAATGTAGTGTGCCATTACTTTGTCCCACTACAAAAGACTGATACAGTTACCAACTCATTGTTTTGCTAAAGCCTGCTTTATAATTCAGCAACTCCACAAGCAAAACACCCCACTTAATATTTCTTAGTATGAGGGCACTCAGACACTTGTGTAATCTATATTTAAATAATGTGTCCAATGTACATTTCCTGCTCAACATGAACTTTATTCATTTGGCTTTCAAATAATTCATTTAGGTCATTTCTAAACCCTAATTTCAAATAGTGGGAGATATTATTTGGGATGATGTGCAACTGTATAGAAATGCTGAAGAATCTGGACCTAGACCCTACTCTGTATGAACCCGTTTTCATTTAACATTACAGATCTCCAAGTATAGTGCACTTTGAGATATCAGGAAAGCATACACCATCTTTTTAACAAGATACTTAAACTCCAGTTATATGCAAAATATTTGTAAAAATCTTTTACAAAAGTTGCCATTTTGTTCATCATGCAGACTGCAATGGAAGAGAGCATCTTCCCACAAACAGTTCACAATAATATGTAAAGCCCTATCAACGAGAATCCAAGAAAAATACCAGCAAGCCTGAAAAACCTTTACCGTAGCAATTTGAGAGCAACACACTATTGACAATGTGGTATCTGTATTAGTTGTGTACAAGATGGTGTCAATTAGTTTCAGATACATTTGTCTACAACTCATCCATAACATGACAACATCCAAACAGCCAGCATTAAACAAAATGCTATTTACCAAAATACGGAAAAATAGTTGCATCATATTTTGCAAACCAGGGATGATTTATGATTAAGAGTCAACACTGCAACCTAAACTGAGAATATTTCAATGTGCACATAAAAGATACATGAAAACTGAATATTATAAATTTCAATTTCTTCATTACATCAGTTAAAATCAAATGTAAAAATAGCATATAATAATGACATTAAATTGCTCAGAAAGTTGATTTACTGTATGCCCTCATTGTGAGATTAATTATGATTTCCTTCAGTGAAACTGAAATCAGGCAGAAAATAAAGAAATGGACCAGTGATGATATAACTGGGAAAAAGGATTTTACAATCCTTGTATTTCAATTTTTCAATGCTTACATGTCATTCTTACGTTTTTCAAAAATTACATCAGTATGAAACTATAATTCATTATGCACTGACCCTCAAATTACACAAATACGGAAAATTAACATAAATGACAAATCATTTGAATTCAATGCTAAACCTTGCCTTAAAAATATCCAGGAGACATTAAGTATACTTATGATCATCATTAGAAAACCACATATGTGCCATCACAATATGACATCAAAACATATCAATGTGTTTTTTACGTTACCTCAACATCTTAAATTGAGGTACAATAAGTCAAGAGTGAGCAATAGTGGGCTGCAAAACATTCAATTGGACAAATGTAAAGTCAGGCAATATTTCTGACATGCAGATATGGCACAATGACATGACCAAAATTGATAATAAAGACACTTCTTGACTGTTAAACTGTCACCTTTCCATAATAATAGCATGGCAATGATTCCTATATCACTTTGTACATAAACCTGAACGGTGGTCTAATATGGATAAGCATTGAAGCTTTTTTCTCTCCAGAAAATAGAATATAATCTGAACAAACAGAACACACAGAATCTATAGTAAGTAATGTAATAACTATTGAGACCAATCAAGCCAATCAGTCAAAGACCTGTTACAATGACATACTGACAGACCACCTGAGCATTACTCTTTTAGAAGCTTATACTCACATAAAGACAAATGGTATGTATTAAGCTTTGCTAGTCAAGCTGAAATATCGTCAACTTGTATTTTGGTCCACTGGCCAAAGCTGCTGGTGAACCCAAAATGTGATCATTTCCACTTTAAAAAATAAACTAAACAGGTGTTTAATAATAGTAAGATATGATCACATTGAAACATGTACATGTTATAGGATGGTGCTGCTTTCTGGCTTAACTAAACCGCAACTTTCAATACATTTGTTTAAGAGAATAGAAAAAGTGGCAGACACATTTTAGCTCACAAGCCTCTGAGGCATGTAGACCAAAAAATAAAGTTGCAGCTGAAAGTCACTTTCAAATATCAATCATCATATTTACTGATTTCGAGAAACGTGGCTATGATACCACTCTCACAACCCCCTCTGTGGAAAGCAGCCGGGTAAATACATGTGTTTATAACAAAGACCAAATACTCAATCAAATAAACATGATCATAAATTAGGAAATTATAAGAAAATCAAACTTACCTTAAACCTACCTGTAACCATAGCTGAGTGGTAAAAACTATTTTTGTTGCTCATCTCCTCTCTTTTTTTTTTTTTTTTTTTTTAAATATTCATGCGGAGATTAAAAATTACCCTGAAATCATTCTTGACTCTAATCTTCTCATACGTTTTAAGCACTACCCCCTTTTTAAAAATGCACAAAAAACAGCCTTTTATGGTCTTTACATGACTACACTCATAAGGACTAACCTCTGTCCATTTACACAGAGTGTGGTATGCACACAGGTAAACCTGGAGGCAAATTTTGGTTGATACCAAGATTGGAGCCTTTATTCTGAAGAAGAAGAGAGGAGCAAAGCAATCAAACCTAACACTGGTGCTTTTCCTTTTCCACCAAGTTGTTTTGGTTATCAAAGTCTGAATATGACTAGCTCAGTCCAAGTCTAGGACGAAAGTAGTGATGAAGAAGAAAGCAGAAAACTTATAATTGAGAAAAATGAAACAGTAAAGTTTTACCCACCTTCCTTTTCCTCTAGCGATGTCGGTACTCCCTCTCCCTCTCTCTCTCACGGTCTCTGTCCCTGTCCCTCTCACGATGGCGGTCCCGCTCCCGGCTGCGTTCTCGATAATAGTCCTCATGTCTGTCACGACTGCGGGACTTGTGGCGTCTGCTCTTTTCTCTCGAGCGGCTGTGGTCTCGTTCCCTGGAACGCTCTCGTCTGATAGAAATGTGAAGAGGCATTGTAAGACTATGGACTGTGAAAGTTTTAGTGACGCGCTGTTCAATTTAAAGACTTAATATGAATGTCATCACAACTGCAGTGACAAAAACAGGCTTTTTCCTTTGAGATAAAGACTTAATATTACAAAAATACTGTGACTCTTAACATGGCTTATCACTTGAATAAAATCTTACCGGGCAGAGCCGTAGCTTTTAGACTCAATGCCGTGGAGACAGTCCTGCAGAGAACTGATGAGGACCTTACAGCGGTCGTCTGCTGACACTTTGGACTGCTTAATCAGACTGATGGCTGTAACCAGGGTCTCTATTGCACTACCATAGTCAGCTGAAAAGAACACAAGGTTGCATTAGGCTTACATTGACTCCCAGTTTTGGTCTTGTGTAAAATCAATCCCAATAAGTGAGCACTGTATAAATCTGCGTATGTCTTACCTGCACTGGCGTCAGACACCGCTCTGGAAATGGCGCTGGAGGAGATGGCTCGGTTCCTGTTCATGATCTCCTCAAATTCAGCCTCGCTAAGAGGCGTTCGCGATGCCTCCATCTCCCTACAAACACACAAAGATCAAGGTATATGACGAGTTCAAGACTTCAAATAGACAATGACATCTTAGCAACCAAAGCAAACTCGAAATAAATAAATATCTGGTCCATAACCTAATATATAACATAACATTTATCAATACACTCAGCTATATTGCTTATTTGTTCTTACCGGCCTCCAGGACCATAGTCTCCTCTTTCATATGGTGGAGGGCGCCCGTATGGGTCGTTTGGTCCAGGTGGGCCTCCTCTGTCGTTGGGGGGCATGTTGTTGTTGCCAGGTGGGGGAAAGAAGGCAGGGTTGACATGGGGTGCTGGTGGTGGGCCACCTGGCGGGGGACCAGGCATGTGAGGAGGTGGCGCCAAAGCCATGGGGGGCCCAATGGGACCTGGGGGGCGAGGAGGGAAGGGTCCTGGGGGTGGCGGGCCCTGTTGAGGGGGTGGGGGACCAGGGGGAGGGCCGTAACCTGGAGGAGGGGGTCCTGGGGGCATGGGTCCCATTGGAGGCTGGCCAAACTGACCAGGGAAGAGAACTGGGGGAGGTGGCCTATCACCGCGGTTTGGAGGACCAGGGAGGGGAGGGGGGAGGCCCTGGCCAGGAGGGGGAGGTCCTGGAGGGCCCGGTGGACCAGGTGGACCGGGAGGGGGACGTGGGGGACCCTGCATTCCACCTATGAAAGAGCACAAGGTCCAAAAAAAAAAGAAGCAAATTAGACAAAACCCAGTGATTTTATGCTACCCTTCAAAGATACAGGCCACGTATTTGGCAGTTCAAAGAAGGGTCAATGACACACACACAGTTGAGGAACAGCAAGCCACAGCTATAGGGAACAAAATATGTCAAAAGAACATAAAATAATGCAACAAATTAAATTAGAAAGCAAAAGAAGAGATGAGATATATTCAAGGCATATTATTTCACACTTTCAAAAAAAAAAAAAAAGCAAGAGTCTTGGATTTAGTATGGGATTCTTTCTGATCAACACATTACTGATTTCAGCTTGATACCGTCATATACTGATTAAGAAAGGCTTTTTTTGGTTGTCACATTTGATTTAAATCCCCCCTAGCAGCTGCACAAAATAATTTTAGAGGAACCATTTCATACATAATCTGAAAAGGCTGTTTGTATTTTAACCAAGTTTAAAGCAACCTTAAAATAAAAGTATTGAGTAGGCAGAATGAAGGATTGTCTTAAAAACGTTCGTGATTTAACCTCTTCAGTCTTAGAGGACGTTTTGCTTGTCTGCTTGCTTTGAGTAAGACAAAAAGCACTTTATGGATCTTTCTTTAAAAGGATTTAGTGAGTTTATAATTCAGCTGTTTCTGGGGCGTTCAACCAGACAGAGTCAATGGCACAACTCCTACCAGTAAACAGCCGAGAGTTAGGATAAAAAGGCAATCGAGCAAATCAATCGAGGTTTTTCACCTCTGCCGCGCCAGCTCCCGTTCCTGCCCCCCGGCGGGAAGGGATTGAAACTCATATCCATCAGGGGGCCATCTTGGTGCCTAATCAGATCTGGTCCCATCCCCGAGCCTAATGGGGAAGAAAGCAAACCAATCACAAGTCTTCCCTTAATAAACTCCCGCCAACTAACTGAGGGCTTTCCCTGCAGCACAGGGGCATCAGCCACTAAGCGAAAGAGGAGAAAAAGGTGGGATGGAGGGGGGAAAAAAGGCTCAAATAATAAGAAAAAAGAGAAAAGTTGGCAATTATGTTCCCTCCTGCAAGTGAAAGACGGCCAATCCACGATTTGCAAGGAATGTAAGGCGGAAAGCTTGATAACTAAAGCTTTTCAAGCAATGGTGTTTCTGAGAACAAAATTGCAGCTGAGAAAGGATTATTTGTTTAGCTGGAGGTGAAGAGAGACAAGGAAAGAACAAAGCAGTGGGGGGAGGAAACATGCAAAGACACAGCCCTGCCAGGAGAGGTTTCATGAGTGATCCCTCAAGAGAAACACAACACAAGACTAGCCTTGGTTTCATGCGGGTGAGAATATTAGCACATCCTGGCCTGTGCTAAAAGAGCAGCACTGCCAGACAGAAAGCTAAATTCTAACTAATCTCATGTTTCCAAGGAACCTGGCATACTGGTGATGATTTTGTATTGCACTGGGAAGTTAATGTTAAAAAATATGACAAATGCCTGAGAACATATATCAAATTTAAGTTATACACGCGTATAAAGGAAATTACAAACCCATAAACCTCAACAAATGATAGAGCACGACCACTAAACCGATCGAGACACATGGCAGGTTACAAATGTTGAAGTGGCCTAACTGTTCGTTTCAAGATGTATCCGTATCACAAATGCATCCATCGATTATTTAACTCTGCTGTTGAGTGTTGACTTTTTATGGAATTGGAAAGGAAATCAAGCTTGTTTTCCAGTTGAGATGTACTCAGACATATTTTTAACGTTCGCTACCATCAATTCACCTAGTCTGGTAATGCAAAAACTTGATTGTTCTCCCCCTGACATGCGAGATAAAAATATTGTAAAAATTAAGAGTAGCAATTTACAGTTGATTTCTGGGGCTAATTAAGATATGGTTTGATAATTTGAGGTGTATAGTTACAAATTTTAACAGATTTCTGCATTTTTGTAAAGTCATCTTCCAATTAAAGAGAGACTGAAAGAGGTGATGCAAAACTAACCAGGAAAATGTGGTGGCGGCCCTCCAGGACCAACAGGTCCAGGGAAGCGGTCTCCTCCTGGGCCGGGAGGTCCAGGAAACCTTCCTCTGCCTCGTCCCATTGGAAAACCTCCTCTAGAACCAGCACCGGGGGGACCAGCTTTACCTTCCCCAGACATCTGGCCTGACTGGGTACCTGTTTAAAAACAAGACAACATATACGTTGCATAGATATATATATACATGTATGTACACAATAAATAAAAACTGTGTGCATTTTTGCAAATGTATGCCCATCTGTGTCAATATTGTGTTAAGTATACATGTGCGTATGACTGTACATAAAATATATCACCAATAGGGTGATAAGTGGTTAACTGTTTTACACTATTAACCACAGTTTAAAACCTCACTGTGGATTAATTATAATTGGCGCAATCTGAACAGAACAAAAACCAAGTGATATCTGGTTTACCACTTTTATGTGTCGTGCTTATCAAGAGTCATGGAGGCTACTCCTCATTAGCATTACAATGGCAGAGGGACACTAGGGAAGCAACAATTAAAGACTTGGATGGTACGTTTATAGTCTGAGAAATAACCTCGGTTTCCCCTTTTTTAATGTATGAATTCATTTTATAACATTATAAATGTATCAAATCACATGGATATTCTTGAGACATTTTAATGTCATTTATTGCTGCCTTTTGAAACAGAAATAACACAATGATCTATAATACAGTAAAAAATAAGAAATAAAGATAAACTAAAATAACAAATTGTTTTTTTATCTTATATTTCAAATCTAGTATTTTAAACTTACTGAACTAATTTATTCATTTTTAAACTTAGATGGACTTCATGGATCCCCCAGGGGATTTTTGTTTGACGTGTTGTTGTTATCAACTGTCATATATGTTTTTAATGATTGCAAACATCTGTCATGCAATAATATATTAAATCTATGCTATGTTGCTGGAAGTCTACAAGCTCCTGATGTTAGGTAGTGTTTTCCTCCTGGTATATTAACTTACAATGCCACGCAGACTTTAGAAACTTTAAACGTTCACTGACTGAAACCCTTCAGAGTACTATTTTTTCTTCCATTGACGACATGCAGTGTTACTGCTGTTTGTTGGCGTTAATCTAAAGTCAAACCTTAAACGGTTTTTTCATCAATGAAGACGAACAATCAGATAAATATGTAGTCCCTGTCTTATTATTTACACAGTGCTTTGGAAATCAATGTCAACATAAACGTCTTTATCACTCCAGCAGCAGCCGGAAAATCTACAAGCAATGTCAGTACCAGAGTGGTAATAATAATGAATGAATATTATAATCAAGGAATATAGTATTAAATAATAGTATTTCTGTTTGAAGGGAAATGTTTAAAGTAGTAAAGAAAATACTGACATGCACCTGATCTTGCTAATAAACAGAAAAAAATGTTACAGAATTTTAGTTTATTATCTTAAGGCTGGTAAATGTTTCTATTGCATTGTCTGTTATCTGTCACTCAACCTCAACTGAGAGGCAAAATTATTAATTTCAAAAAAAGTATATGAGCTTATGTCAGAGTCATCACAATCATAAAGGATTCTGTTAGAAAGTGTTTGATTTTGTGATCGCACATAATCCCATGTTCACACTTGACATCGCCCCCTCCTTCCCTCTTAAACAAATTTAAGCGATACTAAACTCACCAGAGAAAGATATTTAAAAAAAAAATCACTGTGTGTTCACTTGTCAGGATGTTGTCGCTTCTAACTGAATCTTTAGAGGTTTAAAGTTTTGGTTCTCATCAAGGGGCGTTTGTTTTTTATGCTGGCGTGGCAACATTGATATCATGAATCTAGAGATGTTATGCTAGCTCACTGGCACAAAATACTGCTCCAAAGTGACTGTGATTAGCGCAATGTAATATTTAAAGAAAAGAAAAGAAAAGGGTCATATGAAATGATTAATATGATAAATTTATACACAAAACGCAAATATGATCCAAACAACATTTTTGGCTGAATTACTCAAATAGCTGGTTTTATCTTAAAACATTCTCAAACTGTGTGAGTTGTTGTGCTCACCTTTTTTTTCAGAGCACTCCTCACCTGCGCCAGGTTTCCAGACAGGACCGAACCATTTAATGTAAACAAAGAGGGGGGGGGTTAAGCAATACTGAAGCTGGCTGAATGTTACTTTTTTTTAACAAAAAACAACAAACAAACAGGGAAATACAATGAAACAGATATAGTTATGAGCACACTGTGAAGATAGCCTTCTCTTACGTTGATAAGTATATAATTTTATATGAATTAAAATTATTTAAAAAATATTATAATATTTGTTAGGGCCCCTGTTAAGTCATGGGCCCTCAGAATCTTTTCTCCCTTACACGTCGCCCTGAGAAAAAACTCTATGTTTTTGTAGATATAAGCCAATTTTATTATTCAGATGGATTTTTGATTTGAGTTTGTAATATGGTAATGTAGGGGTGGTTCCAGAGGGCTGGCCTTGGCACCACCACCTCTATAGAAAATAAAGGTGGTATATTTACACAATATCTCAATTTGATAAAATTATCTAAATATAATGTGTGATCTGATCCAACAGCTATAGTTCCCTATTAACTCAATTAAATGTACTGATTCAATTATATGTCAACCAAAAACACTATTTATTATTTCGGTAAAACTATACTTGGCTGGGGATTTTTTTAATTTTTATTTTTTTATCTACGCGCCACATATGTATGCGCAGCATGTTTGAATGGTCGCATGACTTTCCAGCGCGCAGAGTGACCAACATGGATGTTGAACAGTAGGAACGGCACGATCCTTGACAACCAAGCAGGTACGCTCATAATACTATTGATTTTTCAGCAAATCGCAACACTAATTTCACCATATTGTGCAGCACTAACTTACTTGCTGACAAAAAAACTGCCTTTATTTAGTGGGGGCTTATTTCTAACCCTGGTCAATTGATTATGTTCCATTATTGCTTCAATGCAGATTCGTGGTTTGATGGAAACGATTGATTTCAACACCCCATTCATTTTCGACCAACTTGATGTTTCATCAAGCAACTTGCCACTAACTCAGTTATGTATTAATGCTAAAGGGGGGCGGGACATTATTTTTACCGCAACTTGCATGAAAAAAACAAAGTGACACCTGGTGCATCAGCTATATCTGCCATGCTTATCAAGAGAAAGGCGAAATGGCAAGAGACAAAAGAAACGAGTGAAGTCGGCAGTGTGGGGGCGCTTCAGGTAAACCAAGAATGACCATGGAGTGTTTCTACACATTAGATCCACCGACTGTGAAACCTGCCAGAAAAAAGTTGCGACCAAGGTGTCAAAGACATTCCTGATGCAGCATCTGTGGAATCTCTATCCAGCACTAGATGATCAAGTAAAGGCCAACACAATAACTGAGTGAGAATACGTCAGTGGCACGTTGATTTAACAAAACATTGAGTCGGTCGAAAATAACATGTAAGGGCATCTCTAACAATCCATGAAGTAGCGGTGAACGTTTGGCGTTCAGTGCAATATAAACAGCAGTAGTCCTAAGTATTATGATGTGATTTTAATGCTACATTATCATTTTTACTGTCTGTCTGTATGTGCTGCCACTGTCGACAAGCTGCCAAACTGATTTTCGTTGTTATTACAGCATTGACAATACAGATATATTCTAATAAAGACATATTCTAAGTAATGTTTCATTTCATCTACTGTGAAGGACTTCCGTCAGTGACCGTTTAACATAGTTTCTTGTCATTCTTCTAGTCACTAATAACATCAGGAGCTTGTATTCTACCATGGGATTTAATCTATTGTAATTGAGTATTAAAACTGTATCAGGGATGTTCTCAGTTTCTTTCCATAATTTCTACTAAAAGCAGGTTGCATGTAAGAATAGATTATTATTATTAAAAATAGAAGAGTAGTCATGTATGACAGTTTAAAACAACACTTTAGTTTATTACATGAGGAAATGTAATATTAGTGTTATTATAGTAATGATAATTGATTATAACGCAAATACTAAAGTTTACATTAAAAAACAAACTCATGTTTTAATCATTCATTACATTTTGGTTGAACTTCAATTATTTTTCACTGTATTGTTTGATCACGTTATTTCTGTTTCAAAAGGCAGCGACAGTTAACAAATTTAAATTCCTAAATACTGTTTGCATGATTTTCTACATTAGTTATTTTAAAAATAATTTGAATCAATGTTAAAATCATTCATGCATTATAATCGTGACACCGTGAACATTTCTCAGACTATAATTGCACCATCAAAATCCCTAATTGTCACTCCCTTGTCACCAATGTTGTCTTTTTTTTTAAAATCAATGTTCATTATCTATCTCTTGTTGAAAGCAATTCAAAATGTTTTACTTACTTTTGCGTGACTGCATCTCAAACTGGCTGAGGGACTGTTTGTTGCATGGTGTGACAATGGGATTCTGACCATGGAGCTCCCTCTTTGACAGCAGCTCCATTAGCTTCCTGGATGATCCCTCTGAGCCGACACACACCAGTGCAAACCTGCGGAAACGACAATGCAGAGGACACACAATCGGATTCAGAAAAGGAGTAAGAGTGACTGCACTGAACTTTTGACATCTAGTTCGGGCCATGTGATAAATACATTTTAAAAGCCTCACCCTTTTGACTGTCCATTGGCTCTGTTTTCAAAAAACTTGATCTCCAGCACATCTGTGATACCTATTGATCGTATGGCTTCTGTAAGGTCTTCGTCTGTCGTCCACTGCATAGGAGAAAACAGTATTAGTATAATAAGCTGACAGAGGTTTAAATCTTGCTGATAACTTGGAAACTCAGTTGTTGATGCCTCGTTCACAGAACAGTTTTTACTGGTTGTTTCTATTTATGTACTGCAGTTTAGCATCATATGAGGATTATCTGATACCCACCCATGTGAGATTTCCTATGTACAGGGCGATTCTTTTGCCTGTGTAGGTGTAAACCACATTTGGAGGAGCACTCTTTCCTCCCTCAGTGCCACCAGGTGAAGGCAGTGTGTCCAGGTAGTCACGGTCTTCTGGAGCATCACCATTGTTGGCTGATGGGGAAATTACGTCATCATAAAGGTCGATCTGCTCATGAACTGGGTAGTCAGCTTCCTGTAAAACAAGATGGCAACAGTTCAAACATGTGCGACATGTCAGACATACAAAAACAAACCCCCCAAAACTGTAGCAATACATTTGTCACTTTCCAGCTGCATATTTTAAATAAATTTCTTGTCAAGATTATTACACATATAATCATATACCTTTAAGTACTTATTTAAATTATCTCTTAACATTTGTCTTATTATTATAAAACTATTTAGTCATATTTTCTGCGTATTTGACCACACCAAAGCATTCAATTCGAGGGGTGTGTGTAGTAAATGAAAAATGAAGCCGATGTGAAAGTGCAAAACCCTGCAGTTTGCTGTTGACCGCTTGAGGCTTGCTGCAGAAGCAACCGCAGTCACATACACACCCATTCAAAATAGTCTGTTTTTCAGGAGAAATGAACAAGTTTAAAGTCAAGTGCTGTCACTTAAAAAAAATAAAGCTCAAATAATTTAGAAAATGACTCAGTAACGTACGAACACATCCCTTAATGTCCCTAAATGTAGCCTAAACAATCAAGTAGGTCAAAACAATAAAGTCACTTATCAATCATGGGGCCTTTTCTCATGTTGTGGAAGTGCAGTTGTGATGGTTGAAATGTGAGTTGAGTTTATTGAAATGTACTACATTTGTTGGCTAAGCCTAAACTAGTAGTCACTGAGGGGCTGTGTGGGTAAGTGTAATAGGTAACTCGCACACCTTAACACTGCTGACTGTACAAACATGTCACCAATACAGCCACAGCAGCGCCCACCTGATGAACTGTGGCCTCACATTGCAGTTAAAAATCCCCTAGTTGTGCTCCTCACATGCCTTCTGTCAGAGGGTTTAATATTTACAGTCTATGGTTTCTATGGCAAACTCCAGAAACCGGCTCCTACTTATAATTTCCATTTATAATAGATTGACTTTCAGATAGATACAACTCCGCTGTCACAAGGACAGATACAAGAAATCTTTCTTACCGAAGGCCATAACTCTGTACAACAGCTCACCTCTTACGAGCAGAGAACTGTCATCATGATAATATCTGTCTCTCCTTTACTGTAATCTGTTCTGCACATGTTCAATTTACAAATTATCCCTGCACTCATGCTCACTTCATTTGGCTGTCTACTCGCAGTTATATTGTATAGCTTCTGCTTATAATATGTCTACACTCATGCACTTTAACTTTGTTTTTGCACAATTACATTTAATCTTCCATATTTAATTTACAACCATTTACAACTGTTTTTGCACATGTACATTTAATCTTTCACATTTAATTTACAACTCTGTTTTTGCACATATACATTTAATCTTCCATATTTAATTTACAACCATTTACAACTGTTTTTGCACATGTATATTTAATCTTTCACATTTAATTTACAACTCTGTTTTTGCACATATACATTTAATCTTCCATATTTAATTTACAACCATTTACAACTGTTTTTGCACATGTACATTTAATCTTTCACATTTAATTTACAACTCTGTTTTTGCACATATACATTTAATCTTCCATATTTAATTTACAACCATTTACAACTGTTTTTGCACATGTATATTTAATCTTTCACATTTAATTTACAACTCTGTTTTTGCACATGTAAGTTTAATCTTCCAAATGTAATCTTCCTATTTAAGACTAGTAATGCTTAGTTTAATCCTAATTGTATATATTCACATTCTTAGTTTTGATATTTTAGTACTTATTTACTTTGTATTTAATATTATATTTTGTTTAGATTTGCTAACATTGTGTTTGTTTTTTACTCATAGTGTGTTGGATAACCTTCTGCTGTAATGCCAAAATTTCCCAGTTTGGGATTGGTTAAATAATAAAGTTAAATAACTTTAAGTATCACAAAGTGTTTAATTCCAGAGGTGTGTGTACCTTCAATTTATTTAAAAAAAAAAAAAAAAAAGCCTTTTTGGTGAATATGAGCTCTGCCCCTCTAAAACCATCCGCACACATTAGTGATGCACGGAGCTAACAATCTGCAGAGCCGCTAAATACAATTAAGTTTCTCCATTGCACATTTCACTTTGCACGCACGTTTCCATTTCCCCCAAAAAATTGTATTTCAATCAACACCGTTTAAACGACTGGAAAAGGATTCTCATTAAACATACTTATCTCGGAAAGCAGCTAACGCTAAGTAGCTCCCGTGACTACGTTTGTTTTTGGCCTGGTAGCCCGCCACAAGCGTCGAGGCTGAGGCCTGAAACTGTGAACACTGAACAATAAAAGCAGCGGCTTTTACCACTTATTTTAGGTCTTAGTATAGCTTCAAACATTACAAATTAATTTCTGCACGCAGCGTTGGTTGTGTTAAATGTCGAGAAGTGCCGCAGATACAACATTTAGAGTCGATAAGTGAAGCACAAGATGCAGGCTTGCAGCATGGGGGGGGGGAGTCTCCTTTACGACAGAGGAGCTAGTTATGTCAACCGAGCGTACAACTCCCCCGTCACATTGCATACAAGGAAATATCGCAAATATCTCGAGTAAATCATCCTGAGTAAATATCTGCGTGTACATGTGTTTATTACCTGGCTGAATTCCTCCTCTACGTCGGCGTAGATATCGATGTGATCTACACCGTCCGCCATTTTCCTCTGACCCGTCTCTCCGTCCGCCTGGCGGTGCAGCGCAGCAATGAGCCGCAAACAATGAGACTGAGAGGGGCAACTGGCGCCCCCTGCTGGTCAACCTAGTGCATTACAACAACTGCTGACGACCATATAAACACAGTCGAGTCGAAAAGCGACACCTGACAAAGGGCGGTTCTAGGCAGGGGCCAGCAGGGGTCAGTGCCACCCCTCCCAAAATAAGAGCCCCCCCAATAACACATACACAGTATTTGACTCAACAACCGGACTCACAATCTAGTATTAAATACTGTTACTGAAACAAATATAAATCATGATATTTAATGATGTGCGCTATTATTTGGCATCATGTATTTTTTTTTAAAGTGATCATCTTTGTCTATTTTTTTCACCTGGGTTTAATGTTCCCCTCTGACAAAACAACTGGCCCCAGTTTGGCCCCCCCTCAGTAAAAGTGGTCTGACACATGCCATGGCCATATTTACAGTCTATTCCCAATATCACAGGTATACATTAATTTAATAAAATGTTAATCCTATTTATCAATTTTGGCATTTAATTGGTTTTCAGCCCCACTTCAAACGATTGTTAAAACTTTGTGTTTCAAATGTTTCACCGGGAACATAAGCTCAATAATAGAATAAATTACAGTTTGATTAAAATACTTGATTAAAAAATATCATTTTGTTTTTTTAGTTAGCCCTGAAGGTGTGAATACTGACCAATAAAAGCAGCTGCTTTTACCATTTACTTTAGGTCATTTATAAATTACAAATGTATTTCTGCATGCAGTTGACAGTCAAAATCAGAAATAGTCAAATAATAATTCATATATAATACATTTGGTCATCTTCTTTGATTTATGATATATGTATGCTATGAGTCTCTTTAGATATCAGTAGACTTCCTCGACTTATTGTCATTTTTAGCCTGGTGTTTTTTTTTTTTTTTAACCTTTAGTGCACTGTCTTCACTCATTGATAAACCAACACACACTGACAACACATACAAAAAAACACATGGGTAATTTAATTTAAATAGTACAAATCGTGGCTTTAGTCAACCAACATACAATGTGGTCGACCACACAATACACAGAATTTTGTACAGTGACAAATATAAACGAAAGTGAGACCATTAAGATAACTCTCAATATCTCAATGATCCTGAACACACTGTAATGAAGTTTGTAATGACAAGTTTTGTGCCTATTATAAAACAGTTAATTTTGTCACCAGAGCTTAATGACATGCTTTTTAAGGTGATTCAGAAATAGCATAGATAAAGCTATGGGGACACTCATAGGCCAAAGTACAATGTCATGCTGAAATTCAAAATATGATAAACAAGCAGATAGAAAAATACCATGTGCAATTTGATTAATTCCAAATTTATATTGCAATGATACATTTCCAAAGTAAGGTTCAATTACCCAGTGAGATTCTTATTTCCGTAGAACAAGCTTGTTTTTTTAAGAGTGTGTGATAAAGTCAATGAGTAGCAGTTTCATGACCCTGGTGGTGACTAAAGGATCCAAAAAGTCCAGAAAATATTTCAGCACTGCCTTAGAAAAGTTTTTTTTATTTCAAGAAACATCCAGTTGTTGTTTAACAGCATCTTTAGTGGGGCATACATAGAGTACTAGTTTTGCATTCCAACCATGTAGGTAACTGTAACTGAAGTCCATCATTGCGTTGTCCATGCTGATTGTAGGTCACCGGTTCAACCAGTCGAGTCCGATCAAAATAGACAAACATAAATACACAGAGTTTACAAACACACAGAAAGACACAGCTGATAAAGACAGAAAGGCAGACATTTTTTTTTTAAAAGATATGTCACAGAAACAAACAATTTTAGGATTTAATCAAAGCAGAAGTAAAAAAAAAAAAAAAAACCTTATTTAACTTCTTCTGATGTTTTGATGATCTACTCTGGATAACATTTTTACGTGCATGTGATTTTTTTTTTTCAATCTTACTTCTTTGTGAATACTTTCTTGGCACTGAGCCATTGCCCTTTGAGATTTGTGGCGAAGCTTTTGCAAATACCAGGCGAAACATCAATTCTAGTAGCATCACTGATGTGACACTAATCCATACATTTCTGAAGCCCTTCGCTCCCATCTCTCATTCAGTGTTAAAGAAGCTGATATAATAGCCTGAAGAAGGAACTTTCAGGGTTCATCGCGTGCATGCTGGCAGCTGCATATATAATATGCATGTGTGTCTGCAATGTTCAGTTCAGTGGGATTTGGAAAAGAAGAGGCAATTTCCCTCCTCTTGTCTCGTTGCATCTTGTCACTCATGGTTCCCTTCTTTCAATGCCCTTCCCTTCCTCGTCATAGCTACCACCTGCATCTCTTTAGTCCCTTCTTGTTTTAAGATGCAAAGTGGTGTAGGAGAAAAAGTATCCATGGCAACAACAGCTCATTGACTTACTGTCTTTGCAGTTTTTTTTTAATTTTAAGGAGTTCAAAAACCACAATAAAGGTTTGCCATTAGAGACTTGGTTTGTGGTTGTCATGAGCAAACATGTGCAGAATTAGGAACGTTTAAGTCAAAAAAAAAAATCCACTTGAGGTGTCCAGTGTCCAAACACATCCTTTGATCCATCCAGATGTCCTCCTTTAAATGAGAAAAAGGTGAAACGGCGACGTAGTCCTTTATCAAGAGACAAGTTTGGAGAAGGAGAGACAGGTGAGGAAGAGTGCGGCAGAGAGGGATATAGCAGAAGCTCCTCCACAGTCATTGGCGTTTTCCTGCAGGGACAAAGCAGAGACAGTGATTCCCTTTTGGGTTTTTACGCCTTTGACATCAACTCAAAGTAAAACCTTGACTGATTACAACAGTGCTTTTTCATATATACAACTATTTGGTGCACATAACCACCATCGTAGGAGAAAAAAGAAGTGGTGTGCTTTTCAAAGCTTGTCAAAATAACTGCATTATTTTGGGACTTGGCACACTGAGCGACTATTTCTCCCCTCTCTCTATCTGTATGCACTGTTACTGCATGTTACTAACTTTAAGTCTTCATGTACCATTGAAATGACTAACCATACAGTATATCTCCCTGGGAGTTCATGAGCTGTGTCTCGTAGGCTCCACTAGATTATTGGACCTGTCTGACTCCAACTACTCCAACTATTAACATTGGTATTACGTCTATTATCATTATCATAATGGTTGATGTTTGTTGTTGTTGTTTCTGTTGTTTGTCTCATTCTATTCCTCTTCCTGCAAGCCCAAACTGTCACAGCAGAAGGTTGTTCAACATGAGTCTGGTTGTGCTCCAGCTTTCTGCCTGTTCAAAGGAAGTTTTCCTTGCCCTTGATATTGTGCTGAACGATGCTAAGTGTTGCTCATGGTGGATTAATGTTGGGTCTCTGTAAATTATATAACACAGAGGGCGCTCTAGACCTTCTCTTTTTGGAAAGCGTCTTGAAATAACACGTTATGAATCTGTGCTATGCAAATAGGGATTGATTGTTTGGTTGATCAGTTGTGTCAAAGGCAGATTTGCACTGGCTGCAGGATCGTTAATCTGGATTAACCAATAGGAAGCTAACCTGTTCGTGATAGGCGTGGCATGACTCGGGGCGCCTTCGAATCTTCTGGGACCTCATCCTGTCACACTTTACAGAGGCATTATGTACAGCGAGGTCAAGGAGAAACATTAGGAGCGGACAGGTGAACATTTTTCAAATATTAGTATCAAAGTGAAAGTGAAAGAATTACTTTTTTTATGTACAGGGGGCGCACACAATATCTCAGAGCTTGCTAGAGCAGGGTGAGCAGGGTTGCAAGAGGAATAACTTTATAAGAAAAAAAAATACAATTAAAGTGTCCTTGCTGCAATATCAGCAAAAAAAGAACCAGCGACTTTGCAGATACTGTACAGGAACTGCAGTGAAAATGGAATTAATTTGGGAGAGTGCTACCATGCAAGTGAGTTATACACTAAAATACAACCTGCCCTGCCAAATCTTAAAGCCAGCATATGTTCAGCAGCTCTGAGTCGGAGTTTCTCTGTGGTCTTATAGGGAGAATGGTGCAGTATGATCACTTTGTCAAAGTGATCTGATTTCTAAAGATGAACTGGCAGTGCCTGAATAAGAAAACACCAAAGGATATATTTGACCTCCCTGGGCTCCATAGTGAGGGGCGGGTACTGTCTGGAGCAGTCACAGTCTGCCTGCACCACCAGCATCAACAGGTTGGTCTCTGGTATCTGATGCATCACAAACATCCTGAAAACAACGCAAAAACACACACGCACAGACAAAGTGTGAAGACGAGCCCACAAACAAAGGAAAACCTCTGGCATAAAGAATGTTTACACTTTGGGGCTTCTATATAATTCAAGAAATAATATTAGTATGAAAAAAAATGTCTCACAAGATCATTTAAATGAATATTTCTGAGGAAATAACAACACATTTTGCAGATTTAAGATTTAATGATGTCTTTTTAATTAAGTAAAATACTTTAAAAATTCAAATTCTAGTCCAGCAGTGGTATTGTAGTAAATCTAAGTGCTGTGTTATACTTCTATTGGCCTCAAGAGGGCACTCACACTCAACCTATGAGGATACATTTGCAGAAACAATGCAATAACCACTTCAACGTTTTATCTGTTATTAAACTCACAAGTACATATGATATGAAGGTTCAGTGTCTTTCTCCTCTTCCCCCCTCATTTTGCCTCCTCTGCATCTCTCTCTCATTCCATTTCCCTCTTCTTCCTGTCTCTCTCTCTCACTCTGTAACTCACCACATGCTTCTCAGACTTTCTGTATAACCTTATGCGCCCTGATCTAATTCTGTTCCTTTCTACTTCCTTTCCCTCTTCCTGATCCTTTATAAAAAAACACACGCTGCTCTAAATACGCAGAGTGGAGCAAAAGCGTAGAAAATGGATTTCAGAGGGACAATTTAATATGACTGGTTGAGGGCTTAGAGAGCACTGCAGTGCAGATTTGTGCGTGCATAAGAGTGGGCTTACTTTTGGCAGCGTCCACACTTAATAATGCTGTTGGTCTCTTT